GGCCCTAATCTGACGAGGCACTGCTCCAAACATGCCACAGCAGCCCGAGAAGTGTGTGTGTGTGTGTGTGTGTGTGTCTGTGTGTATGTGTGTGTGTGTGTGACCCAAGGGCAGACCCCCTTTTTTTCCTACTCCTTGCCTTCCTCCTCTGCTCTGTCCCACGTCGAACATCACCGAACACACACATAAACTGAGGAAAAACTTCAAAAACCATCAAGTTGAGCTCAGTCGACGCTTACCCTCCACCTCGCAGTCTCACCTCCTCTGTGCTCAAGTTGCACTGCGTGCATATATATGTGTGTGTGTGTGTGTGTGTGTGTGTGTGTGTGTGTGTGTGTGTGTGTGTGTTATTAAAGTGAATATGTCTGGGTTTGAAATGCTACGGCCAGGAGAAGCAATTTTGCTCACCACAAACAGAGAGATATCTTCGTCCAGCACTCCCTCCATCCCACATCTGTCACTTCGATTGTGGGCACTTTGCGGAATGCTCTGCCTCAACAGGTTTGCAGCCTCCCCCAGCCTGTTGCCCTCAGTCGACTTCGACGCTGCCTCTCGGAGAAAGAGGCGATCCCTCCCCATGTTGGGACGGGACAGGACAGGGGGACAGACCCCCATGGGAGAAATGACAGTGCAGTTCCCAGTAATCTCCGGGACGAGCCCCGAAATGGCGGCAGGGGCCCGCCGCATACACTAATCGTAGCCGACACACTGGTCTCCCCCTGCACACACACTTCCAGTCCTCCCTCAGTGCCTATCTCAAGCTCCGAGGAAAAGGGGCAGTCATCGCAAGATGAGCCTGACAAGGTTTCGTCCGTTTTTTTGCTGTGAAAGAGAACTATCTTCCCTTCCCTGAAAAGCGCAGGATGATGAGTACATATGTTGATTTTCAGGCTGTGAGCCATGTTCCGCCACTGTGTCTTCCCATCAGGCCTTGGGACAGAGTGACAGCAGGATAGTGTCATGCTACACAGTGACTTGTAAAGTGCCACTGCATAAAGGCCTTCAGTGTGTTTATTTGGGTCTCTACCTTCCCGCCGCACTCCATTCTTCATGTGTTTACTGACTATCTTTTTTTCTGCTTCCTGCTTTCGCCCCCTCCACCTCTTTTCCATGGTGGACAGCTCAGATGTATATCACCTCCAGCAGGTGGAGGGACAAGAACGTGGTGGCGCCGGGGACAAACAACCTGCTTGCAGCCCAGGGACTGGGAGACAGAGAGACGGTAAATGAAATAAGAAACTGGATATGGACAGAGAGAAGGGCAGAAGCGGGTAGGTGGGTTGCAGGGCAGCAGGTCCTCTCATACCACACCTCCACCCCCCCCCCCCCCCCACCCCCACCCCCCATCTTCCCTTAGGCCCACAGGCCTTGGCATCCAGTGAGTAACACCCCCTCCTTCCCTTCCCTTTCCCCCTTTCCCATCACCACCCCCCACCTGTTCGGGGCCACGGTGCAGTGAGTGGCGTTCAGCGTGTTGTGAACACAAAGCAGCGGCCCCGCGGCCCTCTGCCTGGACCTCGGTGTCAAGACCCAGCCGAGCTGAGAGAGAGAGAGAGAGAGAGGGATGGAAGACATGAAAGAGAGAGAGAATGGAGGGCAGCAACATGCAGAATAATTATACCCAGTGGGTAATGTGAGCACCGTCGTTACAGGGGCGGTGTGGTCGGGCCAGGGAGGAGAGAGACACGGAGGCAAGAGCGTCACCGGGCGAGCTCGCAGGGCCAGTGGGCATGTTTGGTAAACCACAATCACAGACCTCCCACTGCACTGCTGGAGCACCGTATGTGGAAGTGCTGCAGGAGATCATCTGGATACTGGCTAGCATGTACGCATGGGGGGGGGGCACTGCTGCTTTGGTCCTTCATACTGTGTACAGATCTAATGTTTAAGTGTAATAAAAAGATGAGGGAGAAATGGTGTATCTTATATGATAAGGAAAAAGATACATCTGTAGTGGGTATTGTGTACACTATCCTCAGGTACATAACCCACAATAAAAATCTTCAGTGGGTTAGCATCAGTACTAGCCTGCAGCTGAAGTCTTGGGTTTCAAGCTGATGGATAATTCAAAGAGACTCTGTAATAGGAAATGAAAACAATTACATATAGTATTTATGTAATTGTTATCAATTTGTGATTCATTTAGCTTCATTCATATTTTCCAACCAAACTGACAATAATGTAATTTGCAGAGCTTCAAAATAGTCTGAACTTAATAAAAGCATTTATATGATTACATTTTTAAAATACATGATAATATATTAAATTGAGCACTTACACAGAAATAGGATAATGTAAACATTATCATGCTCTATAATAAGGTAATGAACTATTGTTACTGAATTGCAATTACCTGAACCGAATTCAATAAAATGATCATGAACGGCTTTTAAGTCTGAACAGAATATAATTGATCTTATCTCATCTAATGTAGACAGCTCAATTTAAAGTATGGCCTATTTACCATATATACGTTTCAATTCTGTTTTATAACTTTGAAAATTGTCTTTCCTTTTTAGTGACAATTTTGGAGAGTGTCCCAGAAAGGCTTTGTGCTCTGCGCAGGGGTGTCAAGTAAAAAAGTAGAATTCAGTTAATAGACCAGTGGGACATGAATACAGAGAAATACATGATCTGCCTTCATGCAACAAGCTCTCGCATGCAAACTGCAGCCGAGCATCAGAACGCTTGCAGATAATGATGCAGAAGGACAGATATTTCCTCGTTATGTTGATGTCGGCTTTGCCCTCCAAATTCTATAATGTTGTGGAAATCTCAACTTTGGATAAGTTTCAGAGTAGCGGATGTTTAAACTTTTTTCTCCCGCATCAAAGTAGGACAAGAAATGTAAAATGTATTATTTCCAGCACTAGGTTAAGCATTTAAATTTTCTATTTTTCAAAATAATACATATGATAGATTATATAAATTCTGAATAATATATTATAATAATAATAATAATAATTATTATTATTATTATTATTATTATTGGGTCAAGAAACTAGAGTTATTATCTTTTACATAATATTGTTATTTGTTGTTATTGTTATTTGTAAATGTCGAAAGTTTTAGTTTTTTCTTTTACTGATCTACAAAATATATATACTGTACAGTAAGTATCTCTTTAATATCTTTTCTTTTATTATTTATTATTGTAAAACACAAATTGGAGTTCTATGTTACTCTGCTTTTCTTTTACAATCTAAATATGGTAATGAATGCTGCATTTAACCCGCCTCTCGACCATTCTCAGGGTTGATCTAAATGTTTTTAATTTCACCTTGCAGATTCATGAATAAACAAAGCAACGGGATGCACGATCCTGTCACGGAGTTCTTTGCTGGATCTGACACGTTCTGTAGCCAGAGATCCTCTCGTGCTTCTTCAGACAAACATGAGGCTGCAGTGAAGGGCTTGTTTTTATCCCTCGGCTGTTGATCAATCATTTAATCTTCTTAATAGGCCCAAATCAAAACTAATGGTGCATGTAATAAGTGTTTAACTAAACAATGTGGACAGTGGGGGACTTAAGTGGTGCCTTAATGATTTTCTCTTAACTGAGCATGACAGTCCTAATGAATTTAGGGCTCGCAAACAAACTTTTGACAACTAATATGCAACGTTTGCCCCAAACAATGCCTCTTCTCACTGAATATCTGCATGTGCTTTGCTCTTGCCACAAGTGCTGTTCTTTATTAATGCATTTATGCCAATATATTTGCATTTCATAAAGTGCAATAAAAGCCTGTGCTAATCCAACATAATTCAGTCACAGAGGTGTTACCAGCCCTGGATTTTCAAAACTCATGTGAGACATTTGGTGCCATCTTGTGGTGACTGTGGTGTTTTCAAAGAAACATAATATGAATGTTATTGTATCTAATATCTATAGCTAATTACAATATAGAGACATATTGATAAATGCAAATGTTGTATACCTAATCTACTAAATATGAATATCAATATAAAGGGAATTTAGCCTTGTCAATACTCATACAGGGATTGTAGTGTGTCTATTTAGACGTAAGCCATTTGTCTTGGTATATTTATCGCCTGTAAGTATCATATTTAATAATTACTGGAAAATCATTAAATTATAATCATATTTCTACTAAGGTACCCTTTATTTGGGGTTTCTAACAGAGTCTAATTATCATCAATTTATGCTTTATATATGAGTTACAAGAAATGAATAACCCCCCTTTGGATTCGCCAGGTTGTGAAAAAAGGCCCTTTGGTTGTTGTTTGGTAATGATTCAGTTGTAAGTGTAGGAAATTAATTAATATATACGTGTGGGTTTCACACCTTCTAATAAACCATCGCTATAACACACCAGCTACAGGGATACCTGGCAACCTCGAAGATATTCATATTAATGGCTATAATTGACAAAGCATGAGTAAATGAGTTGTCAACCATGACTAGACCATTAGTTGCCATGTATTTATTTATAATAAAGTTGTACTATGATTTAAATTGACCAATTGGGGAAAGAGTGCACACAGAATAATGAATAGCCTACTATTTGTTTTTAAGTCACAAAGTCATGATAAAATGTAGGGTCTGTATTTTAAAATATATAATTTATATATATATATATATATATATATACACATTATGATTGCACTGTTGGATGTATTCTGAATGAACAAGTAACGTGTGGAAGTGAGTTTATAAAGTAGGTTCTGATGTCACTTTGTTCCACCATAGAGCAAGACTGACATCTGCTGTCCTCGCGCAAAACCTCACACGTAAACACACGCACACACACAAGCTTTTGCAGACTTTTAAAACTTCCAGATTAAAAAGCACGTCACTGTAGTTTACCTCGAGACTACAGAAGACAGAATTTTTAGTGTACTGACAAAAATGTACGCGAGAGGCCCTTTCTCCTCTCTCTTATTAGGGCGGATGTGACACCCCTCTCCCAGCCACTTGGTTCAGCCCACAGCTTCGTACCCGGAAGTAGTAGTAAATATTTACTTTGCGATCAGCTGACTTCCATTCATGTGACTGCAATTAGCAAAAGACCACTGCAGTTTCTTAGCATGTTGCTAGCATGTATGTATTACTATATAATTAAAATATAGGCTACGTTAATAACGGGTGGTTTAGGTCAGCTAAATACCTCTTTCGCTTTCACAATTAACGTCCAGTTAGCTTAGCATTTGGGACATTCAGGCCTAGCAAGTGAATAGCAGTTACTAGCTGGTTGAGCTAGCTGCTCCACAGGAGACAACACTTTGATTTAACTACTACAATCAACGTGTCAGCAGAATTGGTCAAAATGGACAAGATTGCTAAAGGTGAGTGAAATCCACAGCAGAAAAAAAGCATTCTTATTGTGGGCATGTTAGCGTGTTTGGCTCCACTGTTTACCTTTAATGCTCTGATCTCAGATGGCTACATATGAGGCTATTCAAAATATCATTTAGTGCAGTGTGAAAGACATTAGGATTAGTTAGCTTTTATACACATGTAAATAGTGAATGAGATGCAGAACTTGGTTTGCATTATATTAATAATAAGCTAATACCTTTTTATGGTATGCAGGCATCAGCACAACATTATTAAGGTGTTGTCATAGTATTGTTTGAAAACATAATAATGTTGTATCCTGTGTATTCTTTGTGTTTAAACTGAATGTAATGTGCGTTGTGTTTGGTGCTGCAGATGTTGGAGATATCCAGTCGCGACTATTGGACCACAGACCAATCATCAATGCAGAGGTCCGCTACTTTGTGAGAGAGTTTGAGGTACTTGTTATGAGCATGACAGATGTGTCTTAGGCTAGATTACTTACAAATGTGATGACTTTAGGGTTCAGTGCCACTGATGACAGATAATTGGACATTTTACCATCAGTTAGACTTTTAACCTTCAACATTGTTGTTAGTCAATGTTTAATATCTCTGCTGCTCCATGGAGTGATCAATATACTTTAAATATACAGTGTTTTCTCTTGTTTTTGAGCAGACAATGCCAAGAAATGATTTCAACTCATTTGTTGTTATTTTTCTCACTCATTTTCATGGAAACAATATGTTGCGAGCCAGTGCTAGATGTTTTCAGTCTTCCGTGTGGTGTGCCTGTGACAACACTGAGCTTTCCTCTGCTGCTGTGTAGGAGAAACGTGGACACAGGGAGAGCAGACTGCTGGAGAACCTCAATAAGATTGTCCTGGAAACAAATGAGCAAATGCTGCCGACAGATTTCGTGGGCATGCTGTCTGATGTTGTCAAACGTTGTAAGTCTCCTCTCTCAGATTCACACTTTATAGAAGTTACACACTTTGTAAATTGTGGTAAGATTGTGTCATTTTATGTTTGACCTGACATCTAATCAGACACTATGATTTGTTGCCATTTCTTTCGACAAATGTTTGGCAGAACTGTGTACTGTGTACTAATGAATGACATCATAACACATCATCAAGCATTGTAGAATGACTTATAAGGTCAAGTATCATGAGCCTCCATAACTGACTTTATTTTTGCAAGGATCATATTGTATAATAATTCCCGAAGTAGTAATACATTATAATAGTGATATTACTTCAATTAAGTGAACCCTGTCTGCTTTAAGAAAGGTAAAACATATAAAGTTGTGTTGTTCTTCCTAATGTTTAATGATGTATTTTTTCACTCTACTTAAAGCAAACAGTGGCAACTTAGTCACTCATAATCATATTATAATAACAGTGATTATAATGCATTATAAATAAATTATAATGTATTGCAACTATGGGAATGACAATACATTATGATCCCTGCAACAAAAAAGTCGTGTGAGTGACCAGCAGTTATGAAGTATGATGATACTTGAGCTTATAAGTCATTATAAAATACTTCATTATTATTGATATAAAGCATCATGGCTATTTATGAGTGCTTATTACTATAATTACACACTACTGTAAGCAAATTATCGTGCCTTTTTGCTAATACAAAGACCTATTCAGCCACAACGTATGTAAACTTTCATTTAAAGACCTTCAACAACACACTGTTTCATGTAAATGTGCGATATTCTGAATTCCTTTGGTGGTACGATGACACAAGAAACCTACTTGGACAAACTATGTCAATCTTAAAAGATTATTATGTCAATGTTGTGTTGGAGTAAATGAAAATGTTCATTATGAATATTAAGAATATATATTTTGCTTCTCTCCCACAGTGGAGGCTGCCAAGCACATGGCAGAGAGAGTCCAGCAGAGGGAGCTAGAGGCACATCAGGTAAAAACAAATCCAAGTAAAGGACTTAAAGCACAGGTGGACACATTATCATAGTCCTGAACAAAAAACAGACTGGATTGCAGACTGTACGGGCATTTATGATATTGTGTGCATTTACACGGCCTTATGTTATCAGCATCTTCAGTGCGGTGTGTGAATGCAAGAGGCTGTGGCAGCTGAAGTAGTGCAAGAGGGGAAACTTGAGACAAACATGTTCTTGTGTCCTTCCAGAGCACCCAGCTGCAGGGGAACATGGAGCGTTTGAAAGATGAGTGGGCAGAGTTTCTGAAGGAGCAGCAGAGATTAAAGGAGGAGGTGGACAAGGAGCACGCCAAGGCTGTAGGACAACTCAGCACCCAGTACAGCGAAAAGAAGAAGGACTTGACCAAGTTTTCACCCCTCTAATCAGTGATGGTGTGAGTGAACAACCCTCTCTTACTCCACACGTGTGCTCGCCGTGGACACGGACGTCTGTTCTGCACATGCAAAACAAAGCAAGCGGCTTTGACTGATGAACTTGGTCGTAGGTTTTTGCACAAGACTCAACTTTTCCAAAATCGTAAATATTAAAGTGTGATTAACAACGTGGAATTTCACAGGCCATCAAACTTACACGTTTCTGTGTTTAGCACATGGAATTTTCACGGTAACCTAGAAGGCCTGGAATATGTCTTTTTTTTTTTTTTTTTAAACAATCAATCGTTTGATTGTTCCTTGGCCGTGAAGTTTTCAACATTTCAAGATTTTAATGGATGCCTCCCTGAAGGGTGCTGATGATAAATTTGCAAACCTGGAGTTTGGCACCATGGCGAGATATTCGAAGCACTGGAAGCCAGATCGTTAAATGTTAGAATGAGCAGGTGTGTTTAAAGCACAAGTCAAGTGTTGTAGAAACGAGCTCAAACAAAACCGTTTCCAGGACAAGTCATCCCTCACCAGCTCCCCCGTGTTTGGAGCATTTGACCTCTGACATTAACTTCAAGTAAACCAACTGTCTATGAAGTAACGTTCATTATAAAAAGGCCTTTGCTGAGACCAATAATGATTGATCTGCAGCAGCTGTTTTTTGTTTGCTTTGCCACCTCAAATCTGATTTGAATAAGTCACAAATCCAATATTTATATTCCGTTCAAACATAAAAATAAAAGCATAAATCAGATTTTGACTCTGGTTTACATTTTCTTTTTTTTTGTGGTCATGTTTAGGTAAAGAAAAAAGATTAATAAACACAATCAAGGTGTTTTGCGTCTCCGTTTATCATATTAATTGCACACAGAGGCATATGCTACAGTGGAAATGCTTACCGTTTAAGTATTTATCAGTTATAAAGCATAACACATGGAGAAGTTGTTACATGAAATCGTCAGTGTGGGTCTTGTCCCTACGCGGAGACCCTTTGAGGTTGATGAGGTCGCTGCACTTTTAATGAAGTGTTTTGTTTTGGCTCCAGACAATAGTGGATTCTTAAACAGGTTAATGGATGGGCGGGCACACAATGGGCACATTCCTGGCATGGCTGAGAACAGACTTCATCTCAAACAACGTAATAGAGCAAATATTTTGCATCTCCCCCCCCTTTCCACAACCACACATTCCTTTAAACTGCCACCTCAGCTGTCGACTGTCTCATCTGAAGAAGCAGGTTTGGACTTCGCCTCGTCCATCGTAAGTAAAACAGTCTCTATAAGAAAAATAATAATAAAAGCAAACAAGCCAGCAGATGAGTCCCTTCACTGTGTGGCAACTCAGCTGAAGCGAACTCGGTTCTGTATCCCCTTTCACAGAAGCTGCAGCTTTTTTTCCATTTGGCTGGCAGTGACCTGCCCCGTCCTGCTCTCATGCAAAACCCTGCTCTGCCCGTGTCTGTGTCTCCACATGTGTGTGAGAGTCGGTGATGGCTGGCGTCAGAGATCAGAGAGGGCACGGACGTGCCAGCAGATGTGTGTGTGTTTGCGTGTGTGCCTTTCCTCCGCCTCGGTGACTGCAGCTGTCCCGAGTCGGAGACGGGCCATCATCGGCTAACGAGGAGTGACAATACGGAAACGTGGCCCACCCGCGCCAGCAAGGCACCTTTTCATCTGCCCCTGTTTGCTTTTTTGGTTTCGTTGGAAAGAAGGAAAACAGTCCCGAGTACATGAAAGGTCACCATTAAAGTCATATGAGTGTGAGCTATACATGAGTGGAGTCATGAGCTTAAAGTGAGTTCTTGTTGGGTCTGATAAGTGCAGGATTTATATCTTCTAGAATGAGATTTGATATTGCTGTGTAAAGACAGATTTAGGAAAAGTCAATAAATCCAAAACAACACATAAAAGAGGTACTTCCAGGAATCAAACATGGACACAAGCTTCGTCATTTTTCTCTGTTCAGGTCAGAGTAACCTTCCACCGTCTTCAATTGCGCTACAAGACCACTGCGGTCAATAATAACACGCGCTTTGCCAAACCGAATTGACATTAAGCAATCTGGGATTTAGATCATCTCTTTGTGGCCGAGGGATTGCAACAACAACAGGTTTCGACATTCATAGGAATTTGGGTTCTAAGTTGAAGTGCAGGCTGAAAAGTATGTAAAGCCAGAAATCTCTGCGCCTGGTAAAGTATTTGTTGAGCGACTGGTGCTGATCAGCGACAACAATCGGTGCCCTATTTAGTGGTGTAGAACAGGAAATGTTACACGTTGTCTTAGACTTTTATAGAGAATCTGGTCCATCTTGATAGTTATCCGTCAAACACTGAGAGGAAACTATCCGGCGTCCCGTGTACTCAGGCTGCTGACACAGAAACTTTCCCTCTACCCCGACCCGTAAGACGACTCCGCGTGCAGTTGGGCACTGGCTGAAATCTCCTCTTATCATCCTCCTCAGCCGGCTGCCTCAAGTCTCTGGACCTTTGCTGGTGTGTGTTTTTTTTGTCTCCAGTGTGCATCAAGAGAGCAGTGTGCTCTTCCTGTTTTGAAGCAAGAGCAGTGCTCTCGGGCCACTGAGCTGCCGTTCCCTGTGCCAACACAAATGGTAAAGGAAGCAGCAGCACCCAGCTGGAGCTCCAGTGGGCAACGCACGGAGATAAGGGCTTGTGTTGGTTTATGCAATCTGATGCCCTGTCTGACCAAGTGCTTTCCACATCCACTGGAAAAGATGAAATGTGTGACTGCGGATGAACTGCGCAGGTTACGTATGATGATGAAGACGTTTGCTGAAAAACAGGATCTGGTTTTAGTTGTTCAATGCTACAGAGAGCGGTTGAAGCTCAGCTCGCGTGACAGTTTCAGTTTGATCAACCCACAACGCTACTCAGCACATTCTTAAGCCCTCCCAACATCTGCTTGTAAGAGTGACCAAATGTCAAGATGTCAATGAAACTATATTTGACACTAATCGCATGCATATGAACTATGTGAGGTGTGCTTTCCTTAGCTCTCAGCAACCCACCCACAGGGTAAGAAAGCCCTCAAATCAGGATATATTATTACATGCCGATTCAACTTAGGAACACTTTACCACAAACTTTGGCCTCCAGATTTAACGTGTTGAAACCCCAGCTTTCTGACAGGAAATACTGGATATTGTAAGCTTAAAACTTCATAAACATTCAGGTCATTGTCATTGCAGGATGCTGTACTGTGTTCATGATAATATCTCCACTGTCTGTATATGAACCCAATTCCATCCATGGTTCTTTCTCGTGAGCTTAGCGAGTGCCAGACGGATCAAACACAGTGTTTGAGCACACTTGTGTTGGCTTGATGTTTGAATGTCTATTCCCTCTCCTTTTAGTGCTGTACTGTTTGAAAATTAATCAAATAGCAGCGGAGGTTGAATTTCCTTGAAAAAACAAATAAAATACCCACAACCTCGGAGGACCGCTACAGGTTCTTCAAAGCTGACAGCAAATTGGCCTTACTAAACATTTTCTCTTTGTTTCGGGGTCACCTTTCGCTTCAGTCGACTGATGAGAAAAAGCAGGTCTAACAGCAACACAATTTCACTTTTTTTGTGTGTGTTGGAACAATAGAAAGCGAGGAGGTATTCGTTCACCCCCGCCTTCCTCACAGCTTATGAGAATTTCCCTGCCTCTGCGTGCTCCCTCTTTTTCTTTTGTGCTACATGATGGGGCCCCTGTTACTCAATTACTAAGGGGTCCAAAATGAAAATGCCAACGAACAAAAGCACCACGCTTCCGAGTTAATAACGCGGCATAAAACCACCCCAGGGATTCGGTGATGGGTCTTGGGGCGGATGGTAAAAAGCAGGTGGCAATATGAATTCTTTGGCAATAGCAAACGTTCACCCAGTGGATTTCTAAATAAGAGTAGGAGAGCTCTCAAAGCTGCAGTAAAGCAAATTAAGAAATTGATATTTCTCTGAGGGAAAGTTGCAAGGCATGCTGGATAGTCTCAGACTCTGGCAGCTGAGAAAATGAGCACTGGGTGGCATATAAAAGCAATCAGTGGAAAGAAAAGGGATGGAAATTAAACGTCCCACCTTTCACTATAAATGCCAGCGTTCCCTTATTAACGAGCACTGATATGCTCCCTGATGAAAGCTGACACTGTAATGTCAAGTTTTTATTCTGTACAGTGAACACAGCCAGTTTATTAACCAGATGTATTGGTCAGATTATCTCTCTTTGAAAGACGCACATTCCATCTTTTGTGCAATAAAGAGCCTAATTAGCTGAACTGAGCATGATGTTTTTTTGCGTCTGTCCAGTTTCATCAGACAGCCTCGCTAATACAACAGCTCGGTGTTCCCGCCAGGTCCAAGAAACACAGGTAAGAGTCCAGCAACAACAAACACCTTCCTCGGACAACCACGGGGCAAACAATAGCCATGAGAGGACGCGGAAAACTGCCTGTCATCAGCCAAACGGCCACCAGCAGCAACAAGGCTGTTGTCGTCTAGATTCCTGAACCGTAGAGGAATGTCTGGCTCCACTGCCAGCCACATACCTTCTCAATGGCTTTGATTTTCTCTGTTTTCTGAGGTATTTTTTAAGATGTTATCTCCCTTTGACTGTTGCTGTTTCAATGATTCTGAACCCTATAACTATTGAAACAGAATTTCATATAGCAGAGAGAAAATTTACTCTTTTTACTTTAAAAAAACAAAAGGTTAACATCAACCAAAAGGTTGTAAATCCTGCAAGAATTAATTTCTGGCCACTTGTGGGCAGCAGAAACAATGTAAACCCAACACTGACATATTATCACCCTTACCTCACCATATATGGCACGTTAGTTTTCATTTGGAGCCGTTCAATATTAAGGTACGTTTCTATCATTTGTATTAAGCTCTGTTTTGTTCTCAACCAACTCCTGGGGGAAATATTTGGCCAGAAAACAAAACAATGAGCTGCAAGACACTAAAAAGCTTCGTAGTGCCGAAGGAAACTTCAAACACAGGCAATAATTCTTAGTGAGTTTGTCGTACAAATATAGTCATTGTAAATATACAAGCACTTCAGTCAATTGACTTGACTCTATTACTGAACCTCCTGCCAGCTCATCGCACTCTAGATTTACATCTTCCTCTATTGAAATGTTCCTGTTATGAAATAAGGGTTGTGATTTAAATCTACTGGGCATGAGAAAACCATTTGCTCTGAGGCTTTTTGATCAGTTATTCACTACTCATTATCTGGGTATTGATTTATGGAGCTAAGTCATGGAACAGAGAGGGGAAAGCAATGCAATATAAAAGATGATTCAAGGCCATGGTGATTGAAGTAACAGAGATGCTAGGCAGTGTATTAAAAGGCAATGTCTGCTAATTAAAAATGAAATGCTTAAAAATCCCAAGTATGTTGTTCATGAGTTATGTTGTTGAACAATGTAGTTCAGCTATACCCGAAGGGCTTTTCAAAGGATTTTTGTTCAGTTTCTGCAAGGTTAGGATGATTATAACATACAACTGATATAGCTGTAAAAGTGTAAAAAGTCAATAAAATCAGACACCACTCTCAGTGAACAGGTTTCCAGATTTGGAGAGGATGACACAATGTTTTACTGATGTCTTACTTATCTTATAAATGGAAGTTAATCCCAAGAAATAATCAAATACATTTTCCAGACAAAATGTGTGACTTTCAAGATATAATTACTCAAAATAATTGTTAGTCATAAAACTACACAAAGAAAGTGTGAATTGGCTGTAAATAACAGTGACTGTAGGATTCTCCTTTCTTCCAGTATAGACAGAAGCTTTTTGGACGCCCCTGTACCTCATCATAAACGATAGGCATCTTAAAAACAGGATTATCCCCGAACATTTTTGGAGGCTAAACTAAATAATAGAAAAAGATAAGCTCCCAAAGTAGCCAACACTTCACAAAGGTAACTAAGCATAATGGTCCTTAAAAAAAAAAAAAGACAGTGGAATTTCTCCCCTGTTGTTGTCAGAGCAAGCCCTTTGCTCTCACTAAATGATCTCACGATGAGATCTCCCAAGGAGCATCTAATATCCCACCTACCTCAGCCCCTAAAACCCAATAAATCAATCAGTTGTTCTTTACAAGCCTGCGTGTGTGTGTTACCCATTCGGGAAAGAGAGAATCCCTGCTGTGGCTCGCAGCTTAAAACCATCCTGACTGACAGAACAATGAGGCAGACGGGAGACGGGGGGAACAAGATGCATGCGTGTTTTGCCTCTGTGTGGATGTGATTTCTGCATCCGTGTGTGTTTGGAGCGACCCGTGAACCCCCCCTGAATGCGAGTCAGCCTCTGATCCTGGCTTTCTCCAGGGAGGCCCTGGCTCTTGGCAGAGGAATGCATGGGAGTGGGCTCCTTCAATAAAGGCAACTCTCTTTCAGGGCCCCGGGAACGGCCCCGGGCTTCGCTTTTCATCGTTTCCCTCCCCTGTCTCTCCGAAACCCAAGTGGGCTGCCGCTTTTGCTACTGCTGCTGCTTCGTTTCAAGCGTAATGGCTTTACCTTGAGGCCGCGGGAGAAAGACACAGAGGAAGGGAGTACAGACCTAAAATTATGACTCACCTACTGTATGCCAATGGGTAAGCACAGGATGTCATGACATCTTGTTCGAGCTCGACATGACTTTGTCTGTCATTCAGCAGATAATGCAGAATCCCAAACAGATATGTCAAAACTGTCTGGATTTTGAACTAGCTAAGAGAAAGTGAAAAAAGTGAAGCTAAAGCCAGCAGCAGTTTAGCTGAGCTGTAAGTGAGCTTCAGAGGTGCTGGTAGTTTTTGTTTGATGCTTACAGATGGAGCCAGCTTTTTCCCATTTATCTCCCGTCTCTATGCTAAGCTAAGCTAAAGGGCTGCTGGAGGGGTATTGATCTTCTCATCTAACTCTCAGCAAGAAAGCCAATAAACACATTTCCCAAATGGTTGAAGAATTTATTTTAAAAGTGAGGAAAGACAGTTTTACACCTAATATCCACTTTCCTTGTTTGTGACTTTGCTCCGTCTCTTTCAATGATCCATTAAATGCATACATTTAAACTTGCACCCATTGCTCTTGTTGTGTCGTTATGGTCTCCAGAAGATGTGTGCAACGAGTGAGGCGGGAGACTAACAAAAGGAGAGTAGGAGAAAAAGACATCTGAGGATAGAAAACCTAAAAAAGGAAAATCAAGAAAGATAAAGCAGAAGAGCCCCTAAAAAAGGAGAGTCAGACCAATCAAATGAAAGTAATGACAACGGGAGATGAGAGGGAGAAAGAGAGGAACAAAGACATGGAAAAAGGAAGTAAAAGATGGGATGGGAGGGAAAGACACAGAGAAGGGAAGACTGGTCCCTGGCCTGCAGATCAAAGCAGGCGGTGAGCAGCAGCTCCAGGCCGATCCTCCCAGCACCTGCTGCTGCCCTGCAGCCAAGTCAAACACTTTATTCCAGCAGACGAACTGCTTAATGGCTTCTGTGGAGGGACCTTTACCGGGCCCATGACTGACTCTGCAGACGCTCAGAGGTGCAGCCTGCTCTGACACACACACACACACACACATACACACACACACACACACACAGAAACATTCAAAGGCTTCCTTAAACTCGTTCTTACTCACTGCCTACACAGGGTGACACATCCAGGAGAGCGCACACAACTTTCTATGTGCGATCCATCCGATCATTTTATTGCACATCTGCTCAAGAGTGGAGAAATCCAGACACCTGTCAGAATCATAAACTCACTTAAAGTACTCACGGACTGATGGAGCATGCATAAAATAAGAGACATTTACAATAAATCGCAAACACCTGATTCAAGCATTGTGCACTTTTCTGCCCACTCTAATGCAGCGCTGTTAAAGGTTGTGGTTGGACCTGAGTCAATACGGAGCAGAGAACAAATCATCCTTAGAAAAACAGTAAACATCTGTTTTGTGACTTGGCCACCTCTCACTGGCAATGTCAGCCTGAGGCTGGGCCCCTTTTTACATTTTCCATGAGAGCAAACGGGAGTACCAGTAAGCGGGTGACAGCATCTGTAATTTCTTTTTTTTTTTTTCAAAAAGCAAGGGGAAAATAAAAACAAACCTTGACGCAATGAGGGCAGGTACTGCGGCACTCGTAACGTGTCTTGCATCGTTTGTCCAAAAAGAATAAAACCATGGACAGTCTGTGCGTACGTCCTTTGCTCAGGCAAAGTGAAGCCTCATTGGTTGTTGATGACATTTACGGTTCGGCCCACATGAAATACTGTCTCCTGAAACATCCATTTAGAACCCTACTCTCCTTGTAGCTATAGTCCACATGGCCGCAACGTGATTTGTAAGTTGTGAAGGACATTTGGACGCATGACATTGGATTTTCTTCGACACAAACAGTATGTCATCCTCGATTGATCTTTGTTGGGAAATTCAGTTTTCTATTTCAGAGGCTGGGCCTGGCTGCAAAGCGGCAACCATGGCACCGGTATATGTCTTGCTCAAGGACACTTTAGCGAGCAGTATGCATGCGTTCCAATGTGTGGGCTTCAAGGGGATCTCTGTTATTAATTTGTGTAGCATATAACGTTTAACAAGGCTAATAGGATAGATTAACACACCATTTTTAAAACTGGATTTTAAGGAACATCTCGAACACGCTAAACATCCAACCATGTATAATTCCTTTTAATGACGGTTGATAAGAGCTTTAAAAATATCAAAAATATGTTCAGTTCCAAAGACCCCAAATTACAACGACTCATTCAAACATTATGATATTCAGCACAGCTAAAAACTTTCCCACTGAGGCACCAATGATTATGGTGATATATATGTATAGTGGCTGGCCTGCAATCTGGAAACGCCAGGATGTCCATGAGTCCAGGTCTTCTTTTCTCCTCTTTTCTCCCACTCTTTGTTCTCTACCTTGTTCTCCCACTCTCTGCCCCACCTCAACCCCCTCACAATCTGGCCCGTATATATCCTGATTGCTTTACCAGCAGGAAGTGGGGCTTTTACAATAACGGCTCTACCAAGAAGTGAGATGCAGAGTCCAAGTCGATGTGCCTGTCACCACCTGGTGTGTCTCACCTCAATGTTCAACAAAATGTCAATGCTTTGCCACGTCTATTATTTTAAAGACACTTGTCGACATAGACAAGACTAGAAATGACAAGTGGTGGAGTGAGTCTCATGACAAGGCTGCTTACAACTTTATGGGGAGCAGTGATAGGCACCATTAGCTGTATGTATAT